ATTAATGTACCTGAAAGCCTCGGTTCTCTGTTCTGTCATAGTACCCAGGGCCCTACTATTAATTGTATAAGTCCTGCCCATGTGAAGTATTCCATTTTGGATAAAACAAACATCTATTCAAATAAAGTTCAATCTGCCACTCTTTAGCCCATTGACCCAATTGACTAAGATCTCGGTCTAATCCAGAAAGCCAATAGGCTGTATGCTTTATTATCACAGGAATTAAACATCAATGTAAGGATGTTCTGCTTCATTTGTACAAGGAAGGGAAGAGACCAAATCTCAAATACCTCGTGCAGGTTTTGGTCGTCTGGACGCTTATTCAAAGTGGTTCAGAGAAAGTTTACGAGATTGAACCCTAGAATAAGTGGGTTGTCTAAGGAGGATAGGTTGGGCAGGCGAAATGGAATAGGATTAGGCTGGAACTGCTGACTAAAACAGTAAAGTAATATGATGTGAGCTAGGATATAGGGTGTGGTGGAGTAGAATCTCTATGGGTTGAGCTCAAACGCCAATGGAGAGAAAGTGATATTAGTGTTGTATATAGACCCCAAGCTGCAGTAATATTGGGGAAGGCATTAGAATGGAATTTAGAAATGCAAGGCATAAAGTTACGGCTGTAATTATGGGTGACTTCAACCTGCAGATAAATTGAGCAGATAGCATCAGTAGCAATAAGATAGAGGAATTCTTAGCGTGTATATGGTACAATTTTAGGTTGAAAAAGCAGATGAGTATTGGGTAGTGAGAAAGGAATAATTGACAATCGAGTTGAGCATGGGCCCTTAAGGAAGAGTGACCACGACAGGATAGAATTCAACATTAAGATGGAGAGTGATGTCGTTGTTTTTGCGACTGGAGTCCTGTAATTAAATAAAAGAAGTTAGAATGGTATGAGGCATGAGCCAGTTGTGATAAATTGTGGATCACAATTTAAATGGATGATGGGAGATGGGTAATGGCAAACATTGAAAGAGGACGTGGACAAGCTGTGGCATAAAAATAAAATCGAAACATGGTCAAACCATGGCAGAGAAGGAGAAATGAACGGGTATTAAATTTAAGGAAGCAGCATACAAATTGGATAAATAAAACAACAGACCTAAGGATTGGGAACAGTTTAGATTTCAGCAAAGGGAGACAAAGGGATTTAATTAGAGGGAGAAAATAGAATCTGAGAGTACTCTTGCATGGACCACAACACCAACAGTATTTTTTAAATAGACATTCACAGGATGTGGACATTGCTAACTAGGTCAGAATTTATTGCACATCCCTGATTGCCCAGAGTTAACTACATTGCAGTGGGGGTGGAGTCACATATACACCAGACCGGGTAAGGATGACAGTTTCTTTCCCTGAAGGATATTAGTGAGCCAGATGGGTTTTTCCTGACAATCAACAACGGTTTCATGATCATCATTAAACTCTTAATTGAAGATTGATAATCCAAGATTAGTCAAGAAAAATGTAGGGTCTCCTTACAATCAAACAGGGAATTTATAATGGAGTGCAAAGTGATGACAGACCAATTAAATATATCTTAGATTTTCAAAAAGGGGCACACAAATAATGTCCCAAAATTAAGGGGATCACAGGGTCTAATTGGAAGGTGGACTTGTAAGAAATTGGGAAAACTAATGAGGTAACAGGCAGATAAAACCCTAGAGATTGATAACTTTCATCTTAGGAAGTGGCCTTAGAATGAGCAGCTGCACTAGTGGTTATACTCCAAAATACTATACAGTCGCAAAGAGTTCCGACGGTTTGGAGTGTCGCGAACATAACCCCAGTATTTAAGAAGGAAGTCAGAGAAAACATGGAATTTGCATAACATTGTTGGTGGGAAAAAATGTTCGAGTCCACTATAAATGGTGGGATAACAGACTGCTTAGATGATAGTGACAAAATCAGACAGTCAGCCGAGGCTTTTTCTGTGCTGTAGGTCTCTGAGACTGGATGTTGGGCATGAATTCCCTCCCAGCCACTCCCCATCCTTACTTGGAAGTATATCACTATTCTTTCAGTATTGATGGGTCGAAATCCTGAATTCCCTCCCTAACAGCATTGTGGGTCCACTTGCAGCTCATGGAGTACAGTGGTTCACGAAAGCAGATCACTACCACCCTCTCAATGGCAACTGGATGGATTAGCCAGCAATGCCCACAGGAATAAAGGAAAAAACATTATCAAGGCCAATTGGGAATGTGGAATTGAAACCTAAATAGATGAGCTTTGACCTTTTTGAGGCTCAAGGGGCATAATGGACAACTCTAGATCCTATTTCATATGTTCTCTTCTTTTTCTATCAAAATGCCTCATCTCACCAAAAATGGTGTATTCCCTGGAAATTAAAAGGATGTTAATTGAAGCTGGGTGGGGGGATAAAATGGAACTAATCCAAGTAGGTGAAGTCGGAGCTCAAACACCCTCCTGACCCCCAGTACTCAGACAAGATTTGTGTTTCTTTGTTCTCTGGTTCATTCGAGCATATGAATGAGGAACAAGTGTCGGCCACTCGGCCCTTTGAGCCTTCTTTGAGATTCAATAAGATTAGGGCTGATCTGATTTCGACCTCAACTCTGTGTCTGCGTATCCCTGAATATCTTTCATCATCTCGGTCATCAAGAATCTGTCTGCTTCTGCCTTTAAAAAAAAGTTTAACGATTCTTCAACCACTGCCTTTTGACAAAGTGAGTTACAAAGATTCACAACCCTCTTAGAGAAAAGAAATGTTCCTCACCATTTCAAATGGATTCACCCTTACCTTTAAACAATGACCATCAGTTCTAGATTCTCCCATAAAAGGGACCATGTTTTCAACATCCACGTGGTCGGCTCCCTTCAATATCTTTCAAATTTCAACTTAGTCTCCTCTTTCTTTTCTAGACTCCAGAGGATCCAGGCCCAGCCTGTTTACCCTTTCCCCATTAGGCACTCGACTCATTCTAGGTATTAGTCCATTAAATCTTCTTTGAAATGTTTCCAATGTATTAACAACTTTCTATAAGTACGGTGACTAGAACTGAACACAGTACTCCAAATGCAAGTCTCACCAGTACAAAGGGGGACCGCGTGTGTCTGAAGGTGGCCCATGAATTCCCACTTGTTTACAGAAATGCTTTTCAGCAAGCTCAGGTCATTTACATTTATCCAAGTACAGGCTGACACAAGTTATGGTCAGACAGTTGTACGGTTTGTATTGTTATACAGACAGCGTTGTTGTGGTATCAGTCAAACCTCCCACTCTGCTGGCCCTGCAGAAATGATGACTGGCTCAGTCGCCAGTTCCCGCAGCCTGATTTGTCCTGTATTTTTCATCTTCTGTCCTTTCAAGGACATTCATGATTGAGGTGGGTTTGTCTAACAATCCAGAAGCTTTCATTCCACTTTTGACTGTTTTAAATTTATTTTCTAGGGAATTGGAAAGGATTTACAGACAGGCAGCTCAAGTCAAAAATTGGATCAACAGCTGCCAGTAACACTCAATTCTTGAGAGCTTTGAACGTGGAAGAAAAAAGCATCGTTCACAGTGAAGAGA